TATCTATCTATCTATCTATCTATCTAGTGCACTGCATAAGGTTCAGGTTTTATGGAAGACTTTTGCATAGGTGTAATTTGCAGGGGGTTTGGGGGGGGGGGTGCTATCCTCACAATAATTAGATCCATACAACCCCACCCCCCTATAAAATGACCTCATTTGCTCTAACATAATAGAAATAAACTGGTTAAAGACACAGCTGCAGCTCTCTTGTCTTCAGGTATCTTTGATCTGATTTTAAAATGTATGATGATGTCATGTTTGTACATTTAAGCATAATTGCTGAAAATGACATGCAGGGGTTCAGTCTGCTCTTATCACATTATGGCTGTATTTGTTGAACCGTGATGCAATTTTTCCTTGAGAAATTTAGATGTGTTACATAATTGTAAAAATAAATGTAAAATATTTGTTACTATTGGAAAAAATGGAGGAGGGGGGGCGTGTACCTTTTCTTAATTGTTGAAATTATGTGCAGAAAAGTTGCGGAGTAAATACAAAGAAAACACAAAAGTTAATGCATTTTAACCCCAAAATTTCCTGAATCATTTTGCAAAACTAAACGATTCAGCAAATGACCAAACAGGCAGGGAGCATAACCCCACGAATGGTTCTGTCCTTTCTTTTGTATTCTTAAAACAAGACCTGTTTGTAAGAGGTCATTTTTTTCATTAGGCAGTAAATGATGCACGAACCGATCCAATCTCAAAAACTTCATAGCGGTTTTTGAAAATTCTATATTTAATAATTGTCCTGATGTATCTCAAAAATCCAGGTAGAAAAAAAAACATTGAATAGATCCTCTGGACGGAGTTTTCTTGTTCTTCAAACAAGTTTAACAATGACAATCAAAAGTGTTCATACAAAAGAGGATCATCAGCCTAACAATGGACCGTTAAGACCATGATTATCCCTATGGTTCAAAGTGGACCAGCAGCCTCTGAACCTGTTTGTCCACCATGTGGTGGCACTGCTACTAAGGCTGAGTTTACCTGAAACTCAGACTCTTTGAGAAGTTAGCAGTGGCAGCAAGCTGTAGCATGTCTCCTGTTGTTTTGAACATGACAATATGTGTATATCAAAACAGATAATAAAACAGTGACTGGGTGAACTGCTATGAAATTTTTGAGATTACATCAGTATTTCTCCAAAGAGCCGCCTGCAGCAAGTTATTCTAATATTTTCACAGAACCTTTATTCAAAAAAATCAAAATGTTTCACTTTTTGTCTTTTTTTTTTCCGGTCATATCTGAAAAAGTCATTTGTTTTTGCTTTGTTTACACCTCTGCTCGCAAATTCTGAGTCAGTTTATGAAAGTTTGTCTGCAGGCTGAAGATATTCTCCATCCACTTTTGCCTTTCATTCTCCTCCACTGACTGTTCACATTTATTAGATTCAAGGCAGAGGTAATGTTTGTGTTTCATGAAGAAAAAAAACACGCAACTTGTTGCAACATTAAGACAACCTGTGATGTTTTTTCGTACCAATGTCAAACAATAAAAGCCATAAAACACTTGGGCAGGATGTTGGTGTTCACACACACGGCAGAGGACACACACTCTGATCACAGCCCTCAAACCCAGCCGGATCCTCCCGCCTGTGCTTGTGTCCTCAGGTAATATGGAGATAATTCTGGAGTCATTTTGTGGCAGGTAAGATCCTGCTGGACCTGGAGATGGATTATTATCAGCGGTGGTACCAAACAGGAACGCTGTCGGACACATTAGCATTTCCTCAAGTCTCTGTGGTCTGCCTTGGTGATGAAATCCAATTTGGATTTAATGCATATTTATGATAATCAGTCTTTTTCCAGCAATATAGAAAATCAGAGCAGGGCTGACTGAAACAGCTTTCAATGGAGTTGCGCATTTGTGAACTTTCTCTGACATTTTTTTGTCTTGTAAAGCAGAAGTTTAACACAGTTATATCCTTTTGTCAAACCTTGTGAATGATATGATTTTATGTACGTGTTGAGGTTGCGTCTTAGCTACGACCACACCAACCTTTAGTTCAGTATCTGAGTAGCTGTGGTGGCCATCTTGAAAGAGGTGGAGTCCAGAAGTTGTAGACAGCAAAAACAGGAGTGTTAAAATTTCAGTGTTAAACTTTTGGGTGTTGATTTAACACCCCCCTAGTATTATTTTAACACTTTCTGAGTACACTCACACTCAGTGTTGGTGTTAATTCGCAGTGTTGATTTCCTGTGTTGTCTCAACACTGGACAGTGTTAAATAAGCTCCGCCCACTGTTAAGTCTTATATAACACCAAACAGTGTTGCTTTATGACACCATGCAGTGTTGAAAGCAGTATTCTGAAAAGCCCCGCCCTCTTCCACCTCATGTCAGACAGACCAGTATTTACCCAGCATTCCTTGCTGAGAAATCTTGCAGAAATGATGTTTTTGCCTGTTTATGACTATTAAAGAAGTTCATGAGAGTAAAAATTAGTTGTTCTGGTTAGTTTTCTTGTTCAGTTTGATCAAGTTGTTCAACTTTGATTTTGTGTTATTGGCCATAAATCAACACCATGAGTGAGAAGTATGTCCTGGTGTGTGAAGAGTGACTCCATTATACTTTTCTACTAACCACTGAGTAAAGTAAATGCAACGGTACAGAGAGATTGATATTTACTCTGATTGTTAAATTATCACTCTCAATTTCATGGTGTATTGACACCTTGTGGTGTCTGTTCACCTTTCTAGCACCACAATTTCCTTTAATAATACTCTGGTGATACTTTTAATATTTGATTTTAACACTGTTGAATATTTAACACTTGCTGGTGTTACTTTTAACACCATATTTTATCATTAACACTATTTTATGTTAATGTGACACCAAGAATAGTTGAATATTAAACACTGGTTGGTGTTAAATTAACAAAA